AAACTTCACTCTTTTATTTACTTTTGTTTTCTTTCATAATTATAGTACTTTAATTTATATGAGTACTTTAACCGATTTTCCTTTTCATCAGTGTCAGGTCAGGTAGCGGTTACCATCGGGTTTTTGACCTGAGACCTGTCTCTTATCTGGAACACTGCATGTAGTAATGGAATCACCATTATATTTAATACTAACATATTCATGTTGCACGTGTAGCTATGGGTTGAAAGTCTGCATTCAAGCCATTTAAGTGGCCCACCTGCTGAATGTTTAGTGAAAAGAACGTCTATAGCATGGTTATTGGTAAAAGCAAAAGGTAGTCTGCATACGCACAAGGTGGCTTATTAGGCCAGAGCTTATCCCGGTTTCAGTAGCATGAAGCGATTAGAAGTATTTCTACTCCCCCCTGGATGGGATGCTAGTCCATCGCAGGGTTACCCACCAGCATTAAATTTGCCGGTACCCATTTATACACCTGGGTGGAGACAGGTACTGTGAGAGTTAAGTGTCTTGCCCAAGAACATGACACAATGTCCCCGACCAAGGCTCGAACCCGGACCGCTCGCTCTGGAGTTGAGTGCATTAACCATGAGGCCACCATGCCCCACTGGTTATTATGGTTATCATCATTATCATAAACAGTACAATCTCAAGGTGTGTAGGTCTAAGCGCAATACTTACAGTAACATCAATAACTGTATTTTATCAGTCTGTATTAGATGCTTGTCAGTATCTCCCTTACCTCTGATCCTCATCGCCTTTACTCCTAAAATCTGTACCCATGATATCTTTCGTCATGCCAATTGCCACCTATGTATAAAGGAAAGTTAGCATTAGTTAGGCTAAAAATAAAATTCTACTTTTACAAGTACCATTATAAACTAAGAGAGAGATGATAGGAACAAATACTGGGATTCATTATTTTTTGACAGTTCCAAAAATAGAAAGATAACAACGAGAAAGGATAAACTCAAGGTTACAGTATGTATGGAGGCTCTGGGTCTTTGGCTACTGTCTCTTGTATCAACCTACCTGAGTTAAGCCCTCCAAGATCTCCACAATTTCCAATACATCACTGCTTTGAATGAGAGGACAAGCAAGGAAGTCAAGCCGAGCACCAGGTGAATCTGCATCCAGGCATAGTTTGACAAGTTCAGTGAAAAAATTCTGAAGTTCATCAAGCTCCTTGACAGCGTAAAGAGAAATCACCTGGAAGAAAGTATTTTAAAAATTCTGATAAACAACAGATGAAACCACTTCATCTGCCCT